AGCTGAGTATAATAAGTCGGTAATAATTTGGTTGACCGATTCTCTGCTTCACACACTCTGTTGAAAGACTGTGCGTGACCTTTTTGCTTTTTGGCAGGTAATTTCTTTGTGTTTAAGTGATATTAAATGTCATTATAAATGCTTGGCTGATGCTGTAACACCATCTTGATGCTGCGTTGCACACCAAGCTCTAGCTAGATTAAAGAACAATTTGCTTGTATCTACATTACCAGGAGAAGAAGCAGGCTGAGCCAAAGACCATAAAACATGTTATTTATGTTAAGGTTCTCACATCACTTCCATGACCTTCCACAAAACAAACCTATTTGACCATCTTGGTCTTCCATTGTCCATATCTGGTATTTAGCCAATAGTTCATATTGTTCCTTACTGTAAGAGGTAACTACTAATATATGAATGGCAGTGACAATGAACGAATACTCTGTTGGGCCAGTATAAGTTTGGAAAGAGTAGTTATACTAGGAAATGAGAGCTAAATCTTACTATGCTACGGCCTTCAAAGTCACCAGACCTCAACCCAATTGAACACATATGGGAGATTTTGTAGCGGTGTGTTAGCACTGTTACCATCAAAACACCAAATGAGGGAATATCTTTTGGAAGAATGGTGTTTATCCCTCTAGTACAGTTCCAGAGACTTATAGAATCCATGTCAAGATGCACTGAAACTGTTTTGGTGGTTCATGGTGGTCACAGCGGCACCTTATGTTGGTCTTTCCCTTATATATGGTATATTTCCATAAGGTTTTAAGTAGCATATTAGTGTAGATCAGCGGCATTAAACAGGTCACTGGTAGTAGTTGGAGCTAAAGAAATACTACGGAAATCTCCCAATATCAAGTCAAGTAGGCTTCATTGCCATTCCTCCCATCGCAGGCAGGAATAATGATATGAATGAAATATGTACTAGTTCCAGTCTTTCTAACTTCACTTAAATATCACTTAAAATATTAATTTCAAATAGTTACTACAATTGTTCTTGATTTGCTCTTGCATAGTTACTAGGTTCTAAGGAACTTTATTGTAAAGTGTTACTGACCGAGTTGTGTGCCTGAGTCAATAAGCTGTAAGTCAATAATACACACACACACACACACACACACACACAGTTCATGCAATCATGGTCCTCATTGCATGCTTTAATACATAAAGCTATGCACCATGCAATTCCATCTATGTAATGAGAGAGATGGGAGCACACTCGGTAGGTGTCAGGGTCAGAGGTCATATGAGAAGGTGTGTTGTTATTCTCCCTGTGGGTTAATTAGATCTGAGCCACAAATACACTTGAGAATGGTTACTGCTACAACTACTTTCTCTGACTACACTCACCTGGGTGAACTCACAGCAGTTTGCAATTCTCTCCATTCTATCTTATGTTCTTTTCAGAAAGAAGATGTGCATGGCTGTGTGTCAGGGGTGTTTATAGACATTGATTATGTTGTGAAGTTGACCCATTTCTTATATGATGTGTCAGGGGTGTTTATAGACATTGATTATGTTGTGAAGTTGACCCATTTCTTATATGATATTTGTGTCAAATAAAATGTGTTGATTGCAAACACCAATCGCTTCAGACTCCTTTCTTCGCTTTTGGGTTTGAAACAGAAGAAGGGATATGTCAGCCACTGTGTCCAGACAATGACCACTGTCACTAAATTAGCAACTTTGTTGCTAGATTTAGTGAATTTATTTTTAAAAAGAGAGATTAATTACAAAGAAAGCAACTTTTTGAGCAGATATTAGTGAGTGTCGTGCGCTTGATACAGCTCTCCACTTCACATCACAGCTGCTGTTTATACAAGCTGAGAGAGCAGGTTCAACTCACCACCAGTGTATAAAGTCTGACTGAGTTTCACTTGGTGATCTCAGATGAACACTGATCACCACTGTTCCCAACAACCAATCGCTTATCACCATTGTTTCCAAAAACCAATCACTGATCACCATTGTTTCCTAAACACTTATCACCATTGTTTCATAACAACCAATCACTGATCACCATTGTTCCCAACAATCACTGATCACCATTGTTTACTATTCACTGAACACCATTGTTTCCTAAACACTTATCACCATTGTTTCATAACAACCAATCACTGATCACCATTGTTTACTATTCACTGAACACCATTGTTTCCTA